CTATCTGTATGTGTGTATATATATATATAAATATATATTATAGATGCATGTACATCTTTGTGTGTATGTGTGTATGTATGTCTGTCTGTCTGTCTGTCTGTCTGTCTGTCTGTCTGTCTGTCTGCCTGCCTGGCTGTCTGTCTGTCTGTCTGTCTGTCTGTCTGTCTGTCTGTCTGTCTGTCTGTCTGTCTGTATGTGTGTATGTAGGTAGGTATGTACGTACGTATGCATGCATGCAGGCAAGCAGGCAGGCAGGCAGGCAGGCAGGCAGGCAGGCAGGCAGGCAGGCAGGCAGGCAGGTAGGTAGGTAGGTAGGTAGGCAGGTAGCATAGGTAGGTAGGCAGGTAGGTACAAACAAGTAACGTGTGTAGCTTATGTAAGTATGAATCATGTCGGTGTACATGTTTGTTTGATTCTTTTTTTGGCTTGTTTACATACAAACATGTAGACAGGCAGACAGTCATGCATCTTGCATGCTGACGAACGTATCTTGGTTTAACTTGACTTACGTAGCTTACATAAGTCGCGTAACTGGCATAACTTAACTGTCTTGAGTGATTGTCTGCTTTGTAACCTACATGCATGGTTTCACATTCATTTGTTTAGTTGCTTGCTGGCGGGGATATGTATGTCTACACTGCAGCAGGGTATTCTAGCAATGCATAACGTCATGTACTGCACCGCCGATGCATCACGACGACTGCGATCTACGCTGTTGCTTGCGGGCTCCCAAGCGTAGCAGGCGGCTGCTAGAGCCGTCACTTTGTTTGTTTTCGCCGCGCAGTTTCGCAACTCGGATTCGGAGTTGTCCCTGCGGGTCTTCGTTTTCAAGTTGCGCGGTTTCGGGCGTAGGGTTTAGGGAGCTTGGCGTTGAGTCTTTGAGTTGTAAGTCCTGAGGACATATGAGGAGGAGCTAAACCCTAAACCCTAAGTCGTGGGGTTACTTGGGCTTTTGAAGGTTAGACCCTCCACCCGGCTCTGTGTTAGAGTGGTTCTGTTTGTGGCCGACAGCTTCCTCTGCCCTGAAGCCAAAGGTCGGGATAATGAAGTTAAGATAATATAAGACCATATAACATAGTAGAATTCAGCAGAATAGAATATAAGATGTTATATATCCGGTTTTGAGGGGCATGACGGGCAATGATGGGTTGGTAACATCACTTGCGGGAGCCGAGTCGTGGTTTCGAGGTTGCCATTTTCAGACAAGACAACTCCTAAACCCTAAACCGCCTAAGCCCTAAACCCTAAACGAAACCCTAAGCCTCAAACCGCCTAAACCCTAAACCCTAAACCGCAATCCCTTTTTTCACTGAAAACGCCCCGGCAAGACCTTGGAAGTCAAACCCTCAGGGTCCGAAGGACCCAAGAAGCTGGGTATTCGGGTTTGGGATATAGGGCGTAAGTAAGGTTCAAGGGTTAGGGTACTCGGGTTTGGAATACAGGGTTTAGGGTTTAAGGTTTAGGGTTTAGGGTTTGGGATCTAGGGTCTAGGGTTTGGGATCTAGGGTTTAAAATTTAAGATTTAGAGTTTCGTGTTTAGGGTTTGGGATAGTAGTTATTGTGTAGGTTACGAGTCTGGAGAGTAATGCTAAGCATATAGCGGACTTGAAACGATGATGATAATATGCTAATGGTCTCACGTTCTCGAGGCTCCACAAGGGTCAGGAGGGCCGGTTCTGAAAGATGCCGGATATTCACTATTCGGAATATGTGGTTTTCAGAGCCTAGCCTCGGGGACCATTGAACTCGCTGGTAGTAGAAATTCTTGAATATCTAATCTTTCCCTAAGTATCCGAACCTCTATAAACCTTATAAATCAACACTATGAGACTCTATTCTAATCATCAACCCTAAACCCTAAACCCGCCTACATTACTGTGCACTGCCGGTTTCCTTGCTACACAGCCTGGAAACTCGGGAATCAAACAGCACAGGCCTGACATCCAATCTCCCTTAATATGGGAATATACCTTAAACTGTTATATATGTATAGGATCACAAATAGGATTTAAGGCAAACTGCGCCTGGCCGAGAGTACCACCCATTAGCTTGAGCATGCTGGAACAGCCTACTCCACCCAGTTCCCCACCCTCTTCCCCACAGACTCCTGACACAATGAGCCTTGGGGCCTCCTCCACAACTTCACACCTAGAGAGTTTTGCCATTTAAAAACGGGGTAGTAATTACTCCGCTAGCCTGCATAGGGTAAACGAGACTTTTAGGCACTCCTACTCCGCAAGAGTCTGTATGCTGAGAATGTAGGTCGCAGCTTTCGGCTGGGGGCTGCCTGCGGCACTGGCCTCTGGCCGCCCAAACGCACGCTATAGGATTTCTAACTAGTTTCTAGTTAAAAGAATACATGGCTACTGTCAGGGTGCGATACGGTTTCTATTTTCAGGTTAACGTTACAGTACCAGGGCATGATAATTTATCCCAGCATGGGTTTGTTTTCAGAAATGCTCGTCTTTCAGACTAGCAATCCTGACCTTACGAACTTCACTACGGCTCCATTGGATTTTCCAGGTTCCTACAGATCCACCCAAGTAGCTGTTTCTGCTGCCCCTACTACTGCTGCGCCTCGTGTCCTGTTGCTGGTACAGCTACTACGGCAAAAAGGCACCTCGAACATCGTCACAAACTATTGCTACGACGATCCATCGCGAGTCTTAGTTTTTGGGATGCCCTCGGAAGGATTTGGCATGTATGGCCACATCCACATCATCCTGAAAGACTTGGCAGCTTGGCTGGAGGGGTCCAAGTAATGAAATCGCCGGGTTTTAGGTCCCAATTTTTTAAAAAATATGACCTTCAACCCTACTATTTGGGTAAGTGTTCAAGGTCAATGTCCCGGCCGGTTGCCAGACTCTTTATACAACTCCTAAACCGTCCTACATTCTAAAACCTTGAACCACCCTCAACCCTCTAAACCCTATGCACCCTAAACCCTATACACCCTAAACCTTATAAACCCTAGACCCTAACTACCCTAAACCCTAAACCCTATGCAGCCTAAACCTTACCCTAAACCCTAAACCCTATACAGCCTAAACCTTATAAAACCCTAGATCCTAACTCCATGAGATCTCTGAGGTCGAATTGTCAGAAGCAGTGGTACCCCTTCACCCCGCAGCGTCCAACTCGAATGACCCGACCCTGCTCCCAAGGTTGCATAGAGAAGGGTTTTATTTAGGGTTAAGGTTTAGGGTTTAGGGTTTAGGGTGTATTCGGCTTATAGGTGGTAAAATAGGGGCCTGAATAATTACAAATTAATACTATTTTTGGGGTGATCCTTATTCAAAGTATAGTAAAAAGGTCCCCAAGACCCTATTCTAATTACTCAGGCCCCTATATTATTGGGTATTCGGCTTATAAAAACACGCATGTTTGTCGAAGTTCCCACATGTGTTTGTCCTCTCTCGCTTCTCTCTCTCTCTCTCTCTCTCTCTTCCGTTTCAAGCTCGATGAAGCCCTGTGAGCTAGCATAAAGGCCAAAAGCCGTAGCGGTATAGGGTTAAGGGTGTAATATAGGGGCCTTAATAATTAGACTAGGATTTGGGATATAGTATACTACAATTATATCAAGCCCCCAAAACCCTTTTCTTCTTATTCAGGCTCCTACATTTCGCCAAAAAGGCCCTCGCGTCCTAAACCTACCATTCTCGAATTCTGAAGCCTGGATTCTAGCAATGCTCCGACCTTTTTATAGGAGCCCGAATAATTACCAATAGTTAGTATTTGTGGCCTCCTAATGCATAATATACCCCCAAACCCTATTCTAACTATCTATTAAAGCCCTTACATTAGGGTTTTGTAAAAGGGTTTTTAATGGGGCTCGATAGCGTTGCAGGGTCGCGCTAGGCCTCTTGCCAAAGGCGCTTTGTGCAAAGTTTAAGTTACCGTACTGGGGGCACACAGTACCCATAGGCCCCATAGTACTTCCTTTCTGGGGTTACCTTGTAGGATTCTATCTAAGAACCCCAAAAAGGAACTACTTTAGGGCCTATGGGTAGCCAAG